ATCCCTATAAATGACCCTAAACGGGGACGGGGGAATCCCTATAAATGACCCCACACGGGGAATCACTATAAATGGCCCCACACGGGGAATCCCTATAAATGGCCCCACACGGGGAATCACTATAAATGGCCCCACACGGGGAATCACTATAAATGGCCCCACACGGGGAATCCCTATAAATGGCCCCACACGGGGAATCCCTATAAATGACCCCACACATGGAAACCCTATAAATGGCCCCACACGGGGAATCCCTATAAATGACCCCACACGGGGAATCCCTATAAATGACCCCATACACGGGAATCCCTATAAATGACCCCACACGGGGAATCCCTATAAATGACCCCACACGGGGAATCCCTATAAATGACCCCATACACGGAATCCCTATAAATGACCCCACACGGGGAATCCCTATAAATGACCCCACACGGGGAATCCCTATAAATGACCCCATACACGGGAATCCCTATAAATGACCCCACACGGGGAATCCTTATAAATGACCCCACACGGGGAATCCTTATAAATGACCCCACACGGGGAATCCCTATAAATGACCCCATACGGGGAATCTCTATAAATGGCCCCATACGGGAATCCCTATAAATGGCCCCACACGGGGAATCCCTATAAATGACCCCACATGGGGAATCCCTATAAATGACCCCATACACGGAATCCCTATAAATGACCCCATACGGGGAATCCCTATAAATGGCCCCACACGGGGAATCCCTATAAATGAACCCCATACGGGGAATCCCTATAAATGACCCCACACATGGAAACCCTATAAATGACCCCACACGGGGAATCCCTATAAATGACCCCACACGGGGAATCTCTATAAATGGCCCCACATGGGGAATCCCTATAAATGGCCCCACATGGGGAATCCCTATAAATGGCCCAACACGGGGAATCCCTATAACTGACCCCATACGGGGAATCCCTATAAATGACCCCACACGGGGAATCTCTATAAATGGCCCCACATGGGGAATCCCTATAAATGGCCCCACACGGGGAATCCCTATAAATGGCCCCAACACGGGGAATCCCTATAACTGACCCCATACGGGGAATCCCTATAAATGACCCCACATGGGGAATCCCTATAAATGGCCCCACATGGGGAATCCCTATAACTGACCCCATACGGGGAATCCCTATAAATGACCCCACATGGGGAATCCCTATAAATGACCCCACATGGGGAATCCCTATAAATGGCCCCACATGGGGAATCCCTATAACTGATCCCATACGGGGAATCCCTATAAATGACCCCATACGGGGAATCCCTATAAATGACCCCACATGGGGAATCCCTATAAATGGCCCCACATGGGGAATCCCTATAACTGACCCCATACGGGGAATCCCTATAAATGACCCCCACAGGGGAATCTCTATAAATGGCCCCCACACGGGGAATCCCTATAAATGACCCCAAACACGGAATCTCTATACAGCTTTCATCATCATGATCCCCGGTGATCCTGCCATGGAGATCACTTCCTGTTATAGGGTGACACCGTTTTGTCCCCGTCTCCCAATTGTTTCACTGAGTTGTCACCTGTCACATGGGCTTCCAATGGAGACTACAAGGGGACATTTCAGCACACATGACACAGGCATGGTCCACGGTTGTCACCATCAGGAGAAATGCTATGCTGCCATTGCTAGCGTGTATGGAGATAGGAAGTGGCTGCAAAGAGGCTGCAGGAGATCCGTGTAGACTGGTCAGCTGAGCAGAGGAAGGTGGAATCCCTGATAACGGTGATCACATGACACGGCTGGACGCTGGACGAGGGATATGGCTTTATATTTTAGGGGCTTAAAATAAAAAAAAAAAAGAAATAACAGATTGGGTGGGGCTAGGGAGGATGGGGGTGGGGGAGGATGGGGGTTGGGGGTGGGGAAGGCGGGGGGCACGGAGGGTGGGGGGTCGGGGGCACTGAGTGTGGGGGCGGGGAGGGTGGGGGTCGGGGGCACTGAGTGTGGGGGTCGGGGGCACTGAGTGTGGGGGTCGGGGGGTGGGGGAGGGTGGGAGCACTGAGTGTGGGGGCGGGGGAGGGTGGGATCTGCGGGGTTGTTTTTTTTTCCTTCTCATGGACGGAATTTTAATCATTTTCTGCTGTTTTCACAGAAAACAAAAAGACAACAAAATCAAAAAAACAAAGAAATACTCCATTGTCCCCGGGGGGGGGGGGGGGGCGCTAACTAGTCTACTGCAGCCTCACACATATGTTTTCCCTGCCCGTGTACACGTCATACCAGCCTCCTACACACATTATCCCCGGCCTCCCACATTTCAGGCAGAATTTCAGCATTCTGCTGCCCAATCCCCTCCATATCAATGTGATTCAGGTGTTCCAATCCCCTCCATATCATGTGATTCAGGTGTTCCAATCCCCTCCATATCATGTGATTCAGTGTTCCAATCCCCTCCATATCATGTGATTCAGGTGTTCCAATCCCCTCCATATCATGTGATTCCGGTGTTTCCAATCCCCTCCATATCATGTGATTCAGGGTGTTCCAATCCCCTCCATATCATGTGATTCAGGTGTTCCAATCCCCTCCATATCATGTGATTCAGGTGCTCCAATCCCCTCCATATCATGTGATTCAGCTGCTCCAATCCCCTCCCATATCATGTGATTCAGGTGTTCCAATCCCCTCCATATCATGTGATTCAGGTGTTCCAATCCCCTCCATATCATGTGATTCAGGTGTTCCCAATCCCTCCATATCATGTGATTCAGGTGTTCCAATCCCCTCCATATCATGTGATTCCGGTGTTCCAATCCCCTCCATATCATGTGATTCAGGTGTTCCAATCCCCTCCATATCATGTGATTCAGGTGCTCCAATCCCCTCCATATCATGTGATTCAGCTGCTCCAATCCCCTCCATATCATGTTGATTCAGGTGTTCCAATCCCCTCCATATCATGTGATTCAGGTGTTCCAATCCCCTCCATATCATGTGATTTCAGGTGTTCCAATCCCCTCCATATCATGTGATTCAGGTGTTCCAATCCCCTCCATATCATGTGATTCCGGTGTTCCAATCCCCTCCATATCATGTGATTCAGGTGTTCCAATCCCCTCCATATCATGTGATTCAGGTGTTCCAATCCCCTCCATATCATGTGATTCAGGTGCTCCAATCCCCTCCATATCATGTGATTCAGCTGCTCCAATCCCCTCCATATCATGTGATTCAGGTGTTCCAATCCCCCTCCATATCATGTGATTCAGGTGTTCCAATCCCCTCCATATCATGTGATTCAGGTGTTCCAATCCCCTCCATATCATGTGATTCAGGTGTTCCAATCCCCTCCATATCATGTGATTCCGGTGTTTCCAATCCCCTCCATATCATGTGATTCAGGTGTTCCAATCCCCTCCATATCATGTGATTCAGGTGTTCCAATCCCCCTCCATATCATGTGATTCAGGTGCTCCAATCCCCTCCATATCATGTGATTCAGCTGCTCCAATCCCCTCCATATCATGTGATTCAGGTGCTCCAATCCCCTCCATATCATGTGATTCAGGTGTTCCAATCCCCTCCATATCATGTGATTCAGGTGTTCCAAATCCCCTCCATATCATGTGATTCAGGTGTTCCAATCCCCTCCATATCATGTGATTTCCGGTGTTCCAATCCCCTCCATATCATGTGATTCAGGTGTTCCAATCCCCTCCATATCATGTGATTCAGGTGTTCCAATCCCCTCCATATCATGTGATTCAGGTGCTCCAATCCCCTCCATATCATGTGATTCAGCTGCTCCAATCCCCTCCATATCATGTGATTCAGGTGTTCCAATCCACTCCATATCATGTGATTCAGGTGTTCCAATCCCCTCCATATCATGTGATTCAGGTGTTCCAATCCCCTCCATATCATGTGATTCAGGTGTTCCAATCCCCTCCATATCATGATGAATTCCGGTGTTCCAATCCCCTCCATATCATGTGATTCAGGTGTTCCAATCCCCCTCCATATCATGTGATTCAGGTGTTCCAATCCCCTCCATATCATGTGATTCAGGTGCTCCAATCCCCTCCATATCATGTGATTCAGCTGCTCCACATCCCCTCCATATCATGTGTATGCATTCAGGTGTTCCAATCCCCTCCATATCATGTGATTCAGGTGTTCCAATCCCCTCCATATCATGTGATTCAGGTGTTCCAATCCCCTCCATATCATGTGATTCCGGTGTTCCAATCCCCTCCATATCATGTGATTCAGGTGTTCCAATCCCCTCCATATCAATGTGATTCAGGTGCTCCAATCCCCTCCATATCATGTGATTCAGCTGCTCCAATCCCCCTCCATATCATGTGATTCAGCTGCTCCAATCCCCTCCATATCATGTGATTCAGGTGTTCCAATCCCCTCCATATCATGTGATTCAGGTGTACCAATCCCTCCATATCATGTGATTCAGGTGTTCCAATCCCCTCCATAATCATGTGATTCAGGTGTTCCAATCCCCTCCCAATCATGTGATTCCGGTGTTCCATCGTCCCTCCATATCATGTGATTCAGGTGTGTCCAATCCCCTCCATATCATTGGTGATTCAGGTGTTCTCCAATCCCCTCCATAACATGTGATTCAGGGTTCCCAACCCCCTCCATATCATGGTGATTCATGTCCCAATCCCCTCCATATCATGTGATTCAGGTGTCCCAATCCCCTCCCATATCATGTGATTCAGGTGTTCCAATCCCCTCCATATCATGGGTGATTTCCGGTGTTCCAATCCCCTCCATATCATGTAATTCAGGTGTTCCAATCCCTGTCCATATCATGTGATTCAGGTGTGTAGTTCCAATCCCCTCCATATCATGTGATTCAGGTGCTCCAATCCCCTCCATATCATGTGATCAGCTGCTCCCATCCCCTCCATATCATGTGTATTCAGGTGTTCAATCCCCTCCATATCATGTGATTCAGGTGTTCCAATCCCCTCCATATCATGTGATTCAGGTGTTCCAATCCCCTCCATATCATGTGATTCAGGTGCTCCAATCCCCTCCATATCATGTGATTCAGGTTTTCCAATCCCCTCCATATCATGTGATTTCAGGTGTTTCCAATCCCCTCCATATCATGTGAATTCAGGTGTTCCAATCCCCTCCATATCATGTGATTCAGGTGTTCCAATCCCCTCCATATCATGTGATTCCGGTGTTCCAATCCCTCCATATCATGTGATTCAGGTGTTCCAATCCCCTCCATATCATGGTGATTCAGGTGTTCCAATCCCCTCCATAATCATGTGATTCGAGGTGCTCCAATCCCCTCCATATCATGTGATCAGCTGCTCCAATCCCCTCCATATCGACATGTGATTCCAGGTGTTCCAATCCCCTCCATATCATGTGATTTCAGGTGTTTCCAATCCCCTCCATATCAAGTGATTCCGGTGTTCCAATCCCCTCCATATCATGTGATTCAGGTGTTCCAATCCCCTCCATATCATTGTGATTCAGGTGTTCCAATCCCCTCCATATTCATGTGATTCAGGTGCTCCAATCCCTCCCCTCCATATCATGTGATTCAGCTGCTCCAATCCCCTCCCATATCAAGTGATTCAGGTGCTCCAATCCCCTCCATATCATCATGTGATTCAGGTGTTCCAATCCCCTCCATCAATCATGTGATTCAGGTGTTTCCAATCCCCTCCATATCATAGTGATTCGCAGTGTGTTCCCAATCCCCTCCATATCATGTGATTCCGGTGTTCCAATCCCTCCATATCATGTGATTCAGGTGTTCCAATCCCCTCCATATCATGTGATTCAGGTGTTCCAATCCCCTCCATATCATGTGATTCAGGTGCTCCAATCCCCCTCCATATCATGTGACATTCAGCTGCTCCAATCCCCTCCATATCATGAGTGATTCAGGTGCTCCAACCCCTCCATATCAAGTGATTTCAGGTGTTCCAATCCCCTCCATATCCATGTGATTCAGGAGTTTCCAATCCCCTCCATATCATGTGATTCCGGTGTATTCCAAATCCCTACCATATCATGTGATATCAGGTGTTCCAAATCCCCTCCATATCATGTCGATTCAGGTGTTCCAATCCCCTCCATATCATATTGATTCAGGTGCTCCAATCCCCTCCATATCATGTGATTCAGCTGCTCCAATCCCCTCCATATCATGTGATTCAGGTGTTCCAATCACCCTCCATATCATGTGATTCAGGTGTATTCCAATCTATCCCCTCCATATCATGTGAATTCAGGTGTTCCAATCCCCTCCATATCATGTTGATTCAGGTGTTCCAATCCCCTCCCAATCAATGTGATTTCCGGTGTTCCAATCCCCTCCATATCATATGATTCAGGTGTTCCAATCCCCTCCATATCATGTGATTTCAGGTGTTTCCAAGTCCCCTCCATAACATGTGATTCAGGTGTCCCCTGACCCCCTCCATCATCATGTGATTCATGTCCCAATCCCCTCCATATCAACATGTGAGTTCAGGTGTCCCAATCCCTCCATATCATGTGATGATCAGGTGTTCCAATCCCCTCCATATCATGTGAAATTCAGGTGTTCCAAATCCCCTCCATATCATGTGATTCAGGTGTTCCAATCCCCTTCCCCAATCATGTGATTCAGGTGCTCCAGTCCCCTCTATATAATTGGATTCAGCCTCTGACGCAGCGATCAGCATGAAGTGCGCCTCACCGCCGTACCTTTCTTAGTTTTATTAAAGCGGGTGTTACCCTCAACAGGGAACATGAACAAAGCACATCCCTCTATAGCAGATGGTATCTCGCAACCCTTTCTAATGCCCGCGACCCCTTAATACAGTTCCTCATGTTGTGGTGGACCCCCAACCAATAAAATTATTTTCGTTGCTAACCTTCATAACTGTAATTTTGCAGTAGGAGGAATAGTGTTCCATCATTGGTATCACCATTGGGAGGAATAGTGCCTGCCCCATCATTGGTGTCAGTCGGAAGGAATAGTGCCCCATCATTGGTGTCAGTTGGAGAGGATAGTGTTCCATCATTGGTATCAGTGGTAGGAATAGTGCCCCCATCATTGGTGTCAGTGGGAGGAATAAGTGGCCCCATCATTGGTGTCAGTGGAGGAATAGTGCCCCATCATTGGTGTCAGTGGGAGGAATAGTGCCCCATGCATTGGTGTCAGATGGGAGGAATAGTGCCCCATCATTGGTGTCAGTGGGAGGAATATTGCCCCATCGTTGGTGTCAGTGGGGGGAGGAATAGTGCCCCCATCGTTGGTGTCAATGGAGAAATAGTGGGCCCCCCCCCCCCATCATATCATTGGGTGTCAGGAGGGGGAATAGTGCTCCATCATTGGTGTCAGTGGGGAATAGTGCCTGCCATTCATTGGTGTCAGTGGGGGAATAGTGCCCCATCCAATGAGGTGTCAGTGGGGGAATAGTGCCCCATCATTGGGTGTCAGTGAGGGAAGTAGGTGCCCCATCAATTGGAGTGTCAGTGGTAGGAAAGAGTGCCCCATCACTGGTGTCAGTGGGAGGAAATAGTGTCCCATCACTGGTGTCAGAGGGAGGAATAGTGTCCCCATCACTGGTTGGTGTCAGTGGGAGGAAACAGTGCCCCATCATTGGGTGTCAGTGGAGAAATAGTGCCCCATACACTGTGTCAGTGGAGGAATAGTGCCCCATCACTGGTGTCAGTGGGAGGAATAGAGCCCCATCATTGTGTCAGTGGGGGGGAATAAACGGCCCCATTACATTGTGTCAGTGGGAGGAATAGTGCCCCATCATGTGGTGTCAGTGGGAGGAATAGTGCCCCATCATTGGTAATCAGTGGGAGGAAAGTGCCCCCATCACTTGGTGTCAGTGGAGGGAATAGTGCCCCAACATTGGTAGTACAGTGGGAGGAATAGTGCCCCATCGTTGGTATCAGAAGGGAAGTTATATGTGCCCCATGCGTACATGCGGTGTCAGTGCGGAGGAATAGTGCCCCATCGTTGGGTGTGTCCAATAGATGGGAGGACCTAGGGTAGGCCCCATCGTTTTGGTCGTCAGTGGGAGGAATAGTTGCCCCATCGTTGGTGTCAGTGGGAGGAATAGTGCCCCAACGTTTGGTGTCAGGACTGGGGGAGGAATAGTGCCCCATCGTTGGTGGTTCAATGGGAGGAATAGTGCCCCATCATAGGTGTCAGTGGGGGGAATAGTGCCCCATCATTGGTGTCAGTGGGGGGAATAGTGCCCCATCATTGGTGTGAACGGGGGGGGGGGGGGGGGGGGGGGGGGGGGGGGGGGGGGGGGGGGGCCCCCCCCCCCCCCCCCCCCCCCCCCCCCCCCCCCCCCCCCCCCCCCCCCCCCCCCCCCCCCCCCCCCCCCCCCCCCATGGGGGGAATAGTGCCCCATCATTGGTGTGTACCAGTGGGGGGAATAGTGCCCCATCAATTGGTGTCAGTGGGGGGAAGAGTGCCGCCATCACTGGTGTCAGGGGAGGAATAGTGTCCCATCACTGGTGTCAGATGGAGGAAAAGTGCCCCATCATTGAGGTGTCAGTGGGGGGAATACGGCCCCATTATTGGTGTCAGTGGGAGGAATAGTGCCCCCCATCAGTTTGTATCAGTGGGAGAATACGTGCCCCCATCGTTGGCATCAGGGGGAGCAATAGTGCCCAACATTTGGTGTCAGTGGAGGAATAGTGCCCCGTCCATTGGTGTCAGTGGGAGGAATAGCGCCCCATCATTGGTAATCAGTGGGAGGAATAGTGCCCCATATCGATGGTGTCAGTGGAGGAATAGTGCCCCATCGTTGGTGTCAGTGGGAGAATAGTGCCCCATCGTTGGTGTCAGTGGGGGAGGAATAGTGCTCCCCATCCTTGGTACTAGTGGACACCAATGATTGGGCACTATTTCCACCCACTGACACCAATGATACTTACCTTGCTGGACCCCTGCTCCAGCCTACGGAGCACGCTCCCTCCCTCACCCATGGTAAAAACACTTCTACCAGTGCAGATGTCTTCCTTCTCCGGCCGCTTTCCTCCTCTTCAACTCGCTCGTACGCATCGCGGTGCCGCTCCTTAACATCTCCTCCTTTCCAAGCTCCACCTCCTCGACCGGTGAATTGGCCGCCTGTGTGCCTCTCTTGAGCTACAGTTCCGGCGGCCAATCACCGACGAGGAAGGATTGATCCCGGGGGTGTTCCAGATGAACAGAGACGGCAATGTCATCCCGCCCACACCTGCAGACGGATCAAGGAGCGAGTCTCGGTTCCTAAGGGCTAAGTCCATGCCCAGGAGGGGGCCGCCTGGGGCGAAATATGGTGTGATTTTCCGTATGTCCTTAGGCGACCCCATGGGAAAGTGTCGTTCGACCGACCCCCAAAGGGGTCCCGCGACCCCCCAGGTTGAGAACCGCTGCTCTACAGTGTGTACTTGGCCTCAGTCCAGAGTGTCCACCTCAATGCTGCTGCCTCCTTCCTCTGCTTGCTATCGAGCACCAGTCACTTCTGACAAGTTTTCCCTGACACCAAGAGATAAATGGTGACAAGGAGGGAGGAGAGCTCCCACACCCAGCTTGCGATTGGCAGCCTACACTTTTTATAAAAGGCTATAGAGGAAAAGAGGGCTGTGTGCAGATAAACAGGTACAAAAGACCACTGTGATGAGACTTGTCTGACAGCAGAACAGGAACATTCGGGGAAAAGCCCTCGATTGGGATTTTTGAAAGAAATTAAAACGCACCGATTGCTTACAATAAAGAAAGTATAAAGCTTGTGATCTGATTGGTGACGGTCCGCTACTGAAGCCCCTCTGATTGGCTCTCAGAATGTTTCCTGCCATGAGGCTACACAGAAAGTCTGGTCATGGAGTCAGAAAGAGAAAGTGTAACCTTGTCCCCCGCTGCGGGAAGGCGGATCACATGAGGTGCGAGGCTCGACGGCAGGATGGTATGGGAAGGAATTTGTTCTGCTCCAATTGATTGATCGTGTACAGGTATTAACAGGAGCCGTGATGCCCCGCCCTGAACACGCCCCAGTGTCACGGAAAAAAAATGCCTGAGGGAAGAACATGGCTGGTCAACGAAACATCACTCTACAAGCTGAACTACAGAAAACCCCAAGAATCTGCGAATTCCTTAGAAAATGAATGTACACTACATCGCCCCAAAGTATGGTCCCCCCCTCCATATCATGTGAATTCAGGTTGTTCCAATCCCCTCCATATTCCATGTGATTCAGGTGTTCCAATCCCCTCCCATATCCATGTGATTTAATGTGTTCCAATCCACTCCATATCATGTTATTCAGGAGTGCTCCAATCTCCTCCCAATCATGGTAATTCAGGTGTTCCAATCCCCTCCAGACTATCATGAGATTCAGGTGTCTTCCAATCTCCCCTCCAAATCATGTGATTTCAGGCGTTTTCCAATCCCCTCCATATCATGTTGATTCAGGTTTCCAATCCCCTGCCACATTATGTGATTCAGGTGTTCCAATCCCCACCATATCATGTGATTCACAAGTGTGTTCCAATCCCCTCCACATCATGTGATTCAGGTGTTCCAATCCCTTCACATTATGATGTGATTCAGGTGTTCCAATCCCCTCCATATCATGTGATCAGCAGTGTTCCAATCCCCTCCACATCATGTGATTCAGGTGTATCCAATCCCCTCCACATCATGTCATGATCTTCAGAGCGGTGTTCCAATCCCCTCCACATCATGTGATTCAGGTGTTCCAATCTCCCCCCCCTTTATCCCCAATCCCAATGTGATTCAGGTGCTCCAATCCCCACCATATCATGTGGATTCAGGCGTTCCAATCCCCTCCATATCATGTGATCAGGTGTTCCAATCCCCTCCCTATCATGTGATTCAGGTTTCCAATCCCCTCCATATCATGTGATTCAGGTGTGATCCAATTCCCTCCATCTCATGTGATTCAGTGGTTCCAATCCCCCTCCCAATCATGTGATTCAGGTGCTCCAATCCCCTCCAGTATCATGTGAATTCAGGCGTTCCAATACCCTCCCTATCACATGTGATTCAGGTGTTCCAATCCCCTCCCTATCATGTGATTCAGGTGTTCCAATCCCCTCCATATCATGTGAGTTATCAGAGTGATTTCCAAACCCCTCCATATCATGTGATTCAGTTGTGTTCCAATCCCCTCCATGTCATGTGATTCAGGTGCTCCAATCCCCTCCATGTCATGTGATTCAGGTGTTTCCAATCCCCTCCATATCATGTGATTCGAGGTGTTCCAATCCCCTCCATATCATGTGATTCATCGTGTTCCAATCCACTCCATATCATGTGATTCAGGTGTTCCAATCCCCTTCACATTATGTGATTCAGGTGTTCCAATCCCCTCCATATCATGTGATTCAGGTGTTCCAATCCCCTCCACATCATGTGATTCCAGGTGTTATCCAATCCCCTCCACATCACAGTGAAGATTCAGTGTTCCAATCCCCCTCCACATCATGTGGAGATTCAGGTGTTACCAATCCCCTCCCAATCAATGTGATTCAGGTGTTCCAATCCCCATCCATATCAATGTTATTCATGCGTTCCAATCCCCTCCACTATCATGTGATTCAGGTTGTTCCAATTCCCTACCATATCATGTGATTCAGGTTCCAATCCCCTCCCAATCAATGTGATTCAGGATGCTCCAATCCCCTCCATATCATGTGATTCAGGCGTTCCAATCCCCTCCTAACATGTGATTCAGGCGTTCCCAATCCCCTCCCTATCATGTGATTCAGTGTGTTCCAAATCCCCTCCCTATTCATGTGAGTTCAGGTGGTTCCAATCCCCTCCATAAATGTGATTCAGGTGACATTTCCTACTAATCCCTTCCATATCATGTGATTCCAGGTGTTTCCAATCCCCCCTCCATGTCATGTGAACTTCTGGTTTACAACAGGTGCTCCAATCCAGCCTCCCCATGTCAGTGTGATTCAGGATGTTCCAATCCCCTCCATATCATGTGATTCAGGAGCGTCCAATCCAATCCATATCATGTCTGCAATTCAATGGTGTTCCAATCCCCTCCAAATCATGTGATTCAGGTGTTCCAATCCCACTCCATGGACACAGGTGTAACAATCAAGCCCCTAGGCATGCAGACAACGCTTCTACAAAACATTGGTGAGAAAGAATGGGACGCTCTCAGGAGGCTCAGTGACTCCAAGCGTGGACCCCGTGATAGGTGGCCACCTGGCAAATAAGTCCATCCGTGACATTTCCTGTGGCTACTCAAATATTCCACGCTCAACTGTTTAGTGGGATTAATAACAAAGTGGAATGCAACTGGACACAACAGCCACTCAGCCACCAAGTGGTAGACCACTGTCACATGACAGGGCGGGTCAGCGCATGCTGAAGCACAACATCCTTGCGCAGAAGTCACCAACTGTCTGCAGAGTCAATATGTTCCCCCCTAAAGAACCTCCAAACCTTGGTCGTGGCCTTCAGATAGCCCAATCCAACAGCGGCGTAGAGAGCTTCAGTTTGGAATGGGTTTCCATGGCCGAGCAGCTGCATCCAAGCCCTTCCATCACCAAGTGCAATGCAAAGCGTCGGATGCCGTGGTGTAAAGCACGCCGCCACTGGACTCTAGAGCTGACAGGAGACGTTGTTCTCCAGAGTGACCAATCATGCTTCCCCCCTCTGTCTGGCAATCTGATGGACTGTCTGGGTTTGGTGGTGGCCAGGAGAACGGTAAAACTTACCTGACCTGCATTGTGCCAAGTGTAAAAAGTTTGGTGGAGGGGGGATTATGGTGTGGGGGGTTTTTCAGGGGTTGGGCTTGGCCCCCTAGTTCCCAGTGAAGGGAACTCTTAAGGGCGACATTTGAGGACAATTTCATGCTCCCAACTTTGTGGGAGGAGTTTGGGGATGGCCCCTTCCTGTTCCAACATGACTGCCCACTAGTGCACAAAGCAAGGTCCATAAAGACATGGAGGAGCCAGTTTGGGGTGGAGGAACTTGACTGTCCTGCACAGAGTCCTGACCTCAACCCAAAGAACACCTTTGGGATGAATTAGAGCGGAGACTGAGAGCCAGGCCACCCTCCCCCGACATCAGTGCCCCTCCCCCGACATCAGTGCCACCTCCCCTCCACCTGACACATCAGTGCTTCTGGGAAGAATGGTCCCAACCATAGACTAACCCTCCTAAACTTGTGACGGCCTGGTTGAAGCTGTTGAGCTCGCAAGGGCGGGGCCAACCATATTGACTACCCTGTCCTGAAACCTTAAAGGTGGGGGGCCAACTCAATATTGAAGAAGAGTTGAAGCTGTTATAGCTGCAAAGGGGCGGGGCCAACTCAATATTGAACCCTACGGACTAAGACTGGAGGGGGGGCCAATAAAGGTCATGTGTGTGGAAAGGGCGGGGCCAACTCAATATTTGGGGCAATATAGTGTAGATATGGATTGCTTGGAAGGATTTGGATTTTCATCAGACAGGAGAACGCCACACAGCGTGGTCAGTTCTCTAGATGTGCTGGAAACTCAGCCTGCTCTCCTCCAATAATCAGACTTGTCTTGATTGCAGACCACAACACGATTCCAGGCAAAAGCAATGGCTGCCCATGTCCCTGCAGAAAGGCACTCATTCCCTGCAAGCCTGTTGCTCTTCTTGGAGGGGAGGAACCAAGAAGTAAACCAACTCCCAAGGTCTCCCTCTCTCATGGGTATGGTGGGGAACCCTGCCCCCCCCCCCCCCCCCAGAGGGGGAAGAGCAGGAGCACAGCAGCTAGATGTTGCTTCTTCCTGTCCAGTCTCATCCACCTCCCTTCCTGGTCCTGCCTAGACTCCCAGCCTTCTCCAGCGGGATGGAGGCACCTTAAAGGGGAACCTCCTCCACCACTATCCTACAAGGTGGGTATGCAAGGAAATATTAACCCTGGGCGGGGGGGCGGGGTGGGAAGTTCTTTAATTTTGCCTTCCTTGTTGGTTTCCAAACATTTCACCAAAATTCCATACCTGCAACGAGACCGCCACCGCCGCCCATTCCACCTTCCACTTTATATCCAAACCGATCATTCCCAGAGAGACCAGCAGAGCGCAGAGAACGATCAGGAACTGGAAAGGAGAACACAACCTTCAGGGTCAAATATTCAGAACGTTCGCTGACCTCCCACACCTTCGCTGACCTTCCACAGCTTCACTGACCTCCCACGCCTTCGCTGACCTTCCACAGCTTCACTGACCTCCCACGCCTTCACTGACCTCCCACGCCTTCACTGACCTCCACGCCTTTGCTGACCTTCCACAGCTTCACTGACCTCCCACGCCTTCGCTAACCTTCCACACGTTCGCTCACTTTACACTTCTTCGCTCACCTTCCACACCTTCGCTCACCTTCCAACTACTGCGAGCGGAGCCTCACCTTCCACGCCTTTGCTCACCTTCCACACCTTCGCTCACCTTCCACGCCTTTGCTCACCTTCCACACCTTCGCTCACCTTCCAACTACTGCGAGCGTGAGCCTCACCTTCCACACCTTCGCTCACTTTACACTTCTTTGCTCACCTTCCACGCGTTCGCTCACCTTCCACCTACTATGAGAGGAGCCTCACCTTCCACACCTTTGCTCACCTTCCACACCTTCGCTCACCTTCCACACCTTCGCTCACCTTCCACGCCTTCGCTCACCTTCCACTACTGCGAGCGGAGCCTCACCTTCCACCCTTCGCTCACCTTCCACCTACTACAAGTGGAGCCTCACCTTCCATGCGTTCGCTCACCTTTCACGCCTTCCCCTCACCTTCCACACCTTCGCTCACCTTCCACACCTTCGCTCACCTTCCACGCCTTCACTCACCTTCCAACTACTGAGGTATTGGGGAGCGGAGCCTCACCTTCCACGCCTTCGCTCACCTTCCACCTACTACGAGTGGAGCCTCACCTTCCATGCGTTCGCTCACCTTTCACGCCTTCACTCACCTTCCACGCCTTCGCTCACCTTCCACACCTTCGCTCACCTTCCACGCCTTCGCTCACCTTCCACGCCTTCGCTCACCTTCCACCTACTATGGGCGGAGCCTCACCTTATGTAGGCAGTGCAGTCTGAGCGGCTGAGCGCACACCAGCAGGATCATGGAGAGGATCTAGAGGACGCGGGAGATAGGAAACGGGACCGTTACCGCGCAATTCTCAATCCACATCCACCAGCAGATCGCAACACTAGAACAAGCCACGTCGATGTCGCCAAAGACATTTATCAAACTAATTCTTAATGAAATTTACAAAAATAATTTTTTTTTTCTTCAATATTCCTTATATTTATATATTCTGTATACAGCATATAATAAATATACACAGAATAAATATTAGATACATTCCTGGATTGTAGACAAATAATTGATGACATTCAGCTCCAAAAAACATCAATGCTTAATGAAATGTAAAAAATGAATAATAATAATACTTGTTATTTTTAATATTATAATTTATTTTGTACATTTCAGTTTAATAATTTTAATGTTTTTGGTGACAGACTTGAATGCCATCAATTATTTTTACCTCCATCCAGTAATTTATCTTATATTTATTCTGTGTATATTTATTATATGCTGTATATAGCAACAAGATATATATATATATTTTTATTTTTTTTAATTCTATTTTTACCAAAAAAAAATAATTTATATACCATTATATATATATATATATATATATATATATATATAATTTTTTTTTTCAAGAAAAACTAGATTATATATGTATATATATATATATATATATATATATATATATATATATATATATATATATATATATATATAATTTATTCGATTTCTTTCCAGAAAAAAAAAATTATAATATATATAAATTTTTTTCTCAACAACATAACGATCTATTTTTTCATTCTATTTTTTCAAGAAAAAAAAAAATTATATATTTTTTTTCTTGAAATAAAATCGAATAAATTATATATATATATATATATATTTTTTTTTTTTTTTTCTTGAAAAAATAGAATAAAATATAGATCTTTTTTTTTTTTTGAGAAATTTATTTTTATATATATATATATATATATATATATATATATATATATATATAATAATATTTTTTTTTTTTTATTGAAAAAATTTAATTATATATATAATTTATTCTATTTTTTTTTTTCAATAAAAAAAAAACTATATATTATATATAAATATATATATATATAATATATTATTTTTTTTTTTTTTTTTTTTTTTTTTTCCTTGAAAAATTAGAATAAAATATATATCTTTATTTTTTTGAGAAAAAAAATTATTATTTATATATATATATACACACACACATACATACTCGACAAAATATCTATGTGTATATAAATATTTTTTTTTCCCCCCTTAAATATTATATATATTTATATATTCTGTATACAGCATATATTATATACTTAATAAATATTAAAACACATTACTGGATGCAGACAAAAAATAATTGATGATATTTAGGTCTATGTCACCAAAAAAACATTAAAACAATTCTTAATTAAATGTACTAAAATAAATAATAATACCCCACCCCCTGCTAACTTGCCGCCCTCCTCCACTCTTCCTACCACTCTCCATCCCCCACAGCTATCTCCTCCTGTGCCACCATCCCCCCCCCCTCCCTCCTAGATTGTAAGCTCCAAGGATCAGGGCCCTCGATCCCCTCATGTATCACATTGTATTGGTATTGTTCTGTCACATGTTCTGTCCCCCTCTGTAATGTACAGCGCTGAGTGAACTATCGGCGCTTTATAAATACTGTATAATAATAATATCATGCTGGGAGGTGAATTGGCTCCTGTCTAAATTGTCCCTAGTATGTGTATGTATGAATGTGAGTTAGGGACCTTAGATTGTACGCTCCTCGGGGGCGGGGACTGATGTGAATGTACAATATATATGTAAAGAACTGCACAAATTGAGGGCGCTATACAAGTACCTGAAATATTAATAAATATATTATAAATTTTTTTTCCCTTAAATATTACATATATTTTATATATTTTATATACAGAATATAATAAATATATACAGATTAAATAACAAATACATTACTGGATGCAGACAAAATTAAATTGATGACATTCAGGGCTATGTCACCAAAAACATTGAAACAATTCTTAATGAAATGCACTAAATAAATAAATAAACATATTAATAAACAAAAAAAAAAAAAATAATAAAGAAAAAAAAAAAAAAAATTATATATATTACACACACACACACAAACGCATACAGTATATGTGTGTATAGATATTTATTTATTTTAATATAATTTTTTATTTATTTTATTTAGTTTCATTAAGAATTATTTTAATGTTTTTAAGTGCATTTTTTTTTTTTTTAATTAAGTTTATTTATTTATTTAGTGCATTTTAAGAATTATTTTGTTTTTGGTGACATATATAATTTTTTTTTTTTTTCATTATTATTATTTTTTTTATTAATATAATGTTTATTTATTTATTTAGTGCATTTCATTAAGAATTGTTTCAATGTTTTTGGTGACATAGCCCTGAATGTCTTCAATTTAATTTTGTCTGCA